CTTCTTGCTACATAGTGATGTGTAATGTTCAAGAAACCTTCAAGCAAGCTATGAGTCAGAGATTTGGGCAAGTGCTATGAAGAAGGAAATGGATTCCCCTGGGAAAAATAATACATCAATATTGACCACAATGCCAGAGGGCAAACATGCAGTTGAGGGCAGGTTGGTCAATGCACTCAAAGACAACTCGTATGATACTGAAACATACAAAGCCAGATGCCAAAGGGTTATGGTCAAATGGCAAGAATAGACTTCAGGGAGACTAATTCTCCTACAGCAAATATGACATCGTGGTTAGTTGTCCCTTGAGAGGAAGCTGTGACCACGGAGAACACAGTGGTTACCTAGTGCTGGAGAAAAGGGGTTGAATGAAGTGGCTACAATCAGAGGATATAACAGCTGAGGGCAGAGCTAAACAGAGTTGTCTCATTCCACTTCAGTAACCTCTTCACCTTCATGGAAAATGAGGGCATACTGGACTCTACAGATGAACTCCATCTGTTTTGTCTACACTACATCTACTTGCCAAGAGTTCAAAGGGCAGCTGCAGAATTCCAAAATCAGTGGAACCACCACGGATTATCCGCACAGGGTGGACGAACACTTCTCCAATTGTGATGGAGAGGGGCTTTTAATAGAGCCCGAGCAATTCAGGACATTTTTGCAGGAAATGGTACCTTGAAACCAATAAAGTCACCCCTCTACAGTTAGAGAATGGATACCAGAGTCAAGGTGTCATTGTGTACCTGAGAATTTCAGGTTGACTTAAAGGGAAAATAATTGCTCCAAAAATAAAAATCCACTCACTCTTTATAGAAATTAACAATAATAAACACTAGGGTTGCATGGTAATATCGGCGAGTCATTGGTATAACATTGTATTTCATGTGTCCACCTGCTGGAGGGCCATCACAATAAGAATATGCATAATATGATGTTAATTCCATGCAGAAGACATTTGAGGATCACTAAAATTAGGTGGGGAAAAAAGTGGATTAATCAATATCGGTATTGGTTATCTGCCAGATGAGTTGTTACATATCAGCATACCAGATATCGGCAAAAAAATCCAATAGTTTGCATCCGTAATAAGGACCAAGCAACCCATTTTTTTTTGCCGTCTTAGTGGTTTTAGTTTTACTTTCTTCAAGGCGTTTTGACCTTTGATGCTGCCTCCTGATTGTGACTTTATCCTAATGAGACGGACCTGATTAACTAAAGGTTACATACATGCAGAAGACCGTTGAGTTTTAAAGGTAGATTCAGTTTGCAGACACTAGTGATGGAGTAGAATGCAACAGAAGTTACATGCCTATGTTTCTATGAGAGACAGAAGGGAAGAGGCAGTGTAATGTATGCTGCTCGCTCCTGTGAAATCTTTATTCATTTTCTCATTGACAAGTACAAGCTAATTTCTCATGAATAATGAAAGCATTATATCAGAGGTTATATTGCTGTCTTTGATCAGGAGCATGACACGCTGCCAACTGCTCTTATGCTCACTTACAAAGCTTAATCAAACTATATTATCTCCAGTGCAGCATGGAATATCTAGAGTAACACAACAACTTGTTGTGGACCCCTTTTCTTTGTCTTCGGTTGTACTGAAAAATTGATGGTTCAAGGGTTATTTTGAAAAAATCATGACTTGTGTTAGGTGGCACGGTGATGCAGTGGTTAGCATTGGCGCCTCACAGCAAGAGGGTTCCTAGTTTGAACCTGGGGTGGGGGAGCCCATCTGTGTGGAGTCTGCTCTTCCTGTGTCAGCGTGGGTTTTCTCTGGGGTACTCCAGCTTCCTCCGACAGTCCATAGACATGCAGGTTAATTGACTCTAGAGTGGCTGTAGGTGTGATTGGTGATTGTGAGTGTGAATGGTTGTCTGTCTCTATGTATCAGCCCTGTGATAGTCCGCTGAACTGTCAAGGGTGTACCCCGCCTCTCACCCACTGTCAGCTGGGATAGGCTCCAGAGATTAAGCGGTTATGCAAACAGGCTGAGGTTGCAGACGTCCCTCTCCTCAGCAACACTTTCCAGCTCCTTCTGGGGGATCATGGGGTGTTCCCAGGCCTGATGAGATATATAATCCCTCCAGCGTGTCCTGGGTCTGCCCTGAGGCCTCCTACCAGTTGTATGTGGCCAAAACACCTCTACTGGGAGGCACCTAGGAGGATCCTAATCAGATGCCCGAACCACATGACATGAAGGTGTAGCGACTCTACTCCGAGCTTTCTCCAGATGTCCAAGCTCCTTATCCTAATACGAAGACTGAGCCTAGCCACCCTTTGGAGCAAACTCATTTTGGCTGCTTGTATCCACGATCTCTCCCCTCCAAGAACCACCATCTTGCGTGTCCCCGTGATCCTGGGAGCTGTGTTGTCCGGGGCTAGTAGCCCCTGGCATGGTCTCCCACGGCAAAGTGGTCCCAGGGGAGGGGCGAGACTAAGTGCACTTCAAGAGGACCGTGATGAAACAGCACATTCGGGAAAAGAGTACCTCGCCCAGTAAGGGGACACTGGGACCCCCTTCTGGAGCCAGACCTGGGGAAGGGAGCTTGTCATTTGGGCCTGGTGGGCCGTAGATGTGTCAGAACATGACTCCGAGAAATATGAAATATAAAAATGTCAAAATACACTGGAGGGGGCTTTAAGTGTCATCAAGCAGTTTTAGAATGATGTTTTTATTTGAGTCAAAGAAACTCCACCAACATGCCTCTCGGCCTGTTTAAATACCATCAAAGCTTCTCTAAGACATCATAGCTTCAAAATAGTTATTTGCTCTGCTGTTATTCTTGCTTGGTCTCCCTTGATGAAGTTCAGCTCCACATTATGGGTGTAAGATAAAAGCAGAGGCATGAATTGATTCAGTTGTGTCTGATAAGAAAAGATGCACAATGATCAAAGAGACAACAAAGGCTGAAGAGAAATCTTCTTGCTATAGCTGAGTTACAAGCGCTGCTTTTATCACTTCGCTAATGCGGCTCTATATGATCAACAAAGTGGAAGTAAAGTTTGGAAACAGGATTTGATTGAGCACTTTTGCAGCTTCTGGCCTAACTTCCAACAACCCTGCATTCTCATATGACGACATTACATTTTGGATTTGCTGCATTCTGCTGAACTTAGACCTGATGGCCTCATTCGTGGACACTTTTATGTGCCATCTAGTGTTATCAAAAGCACACTACACTAATGTCTGTAAACACAAGATGGCATTTCTGCTAAATCAGTCCAGAGACTATTGATAAACTGAGATGGCCCACTTAAGATTCATTTCCTGTATGTGTGTCACATGGGTTTCACCAATGCCCTGCCCCTTTAGCAGAATAGCAATGGTCCTAATCTATTCACTAGAATTAAAGAAGTACATGTTAGTACAGAATATAACCGTTGCCTTTGCCCCATAGTCACTTAAGTAAATTTTGGAACCATTTTCCACAAGCCCCAACTAGACAGACAAATCAGCAGAAAATTAACTTGGTTTGAGACATGTCTCTCTCACAAGATTTGGCAACATCTGACGTGATCTCATAAAACAAGGATCAAACAATAAATGTGAACTTTGTGTCTTCAGCATTGAAGACAATGGACTCACATTCTTCGTACAACTCGTACGCTAACACAGGTGAGCTTGTCAGAAATTTGTTCCCCGGCAGCGGAATAGAAGCCAGATTTAGTTTGGAATTGCTTCTTACTTCAAATCATTTGGGAATCAGGTAAAATGTTCATATAGAATTTAAACAAAAGTGGGTAGCACTGTCACCTCACAGCAAGAGGGCTCCTGCCATGGGTTTCTCCAGGGTACTCTGGCTTCCTCCCACAGTCCAAAGACATGCAGGGTAATTGGTGACTCTAAAGCCCCTTTTAGACTGCCAGATTTTCCACGAATGCCGGTCAGCTGCGCGGGTTTATACACACAGAAGCGGAAAGGCGAGTTGATCCGAGGTGCCCAATTTTCCGCCTCGTAGGGTAGTCATATTGGTGGAACCATTTTAGTTTAAACAGACTGAGGTGGCCTTCCGCAATGGGAGGGACTGTTGAAGACTTGTGAGAGGAGCTGTTGATGACGCCACAAGTGCGAGCCACTGGCGGTGGATAAACAGGAAACAGCTGATAGCAGGAATTAGAGAGCAGCTAGTAGCAAGAGGGAAACACAAACCTGACAGACACTGTAAAGATGAGCAACTGGGGAGACAAGGAATTGCGCGCCCTCCTTGTCCTCGCAAACGAAGAGGCCATCAACCGTCAGATGACGGGGACGGTGAAGAACGGGCCGACTTACGAGAGACTCGCCGAAGGACTGACCAGCCGTGGCTTCCCTCCCACGTCACTGTTTACGTCACACGCTGAGCTACACGTTTTGTTACTTGCTCACGCCCCCCATTGCCCCGAAAAAGGCGCATTCTGTGTGAACAAAAGTAGGTAGGCGGCATTTTGCTGCACTCCCCGATTTTGTTTTTATACTGCCAATGCTGAAAGAAGACTGATTGGGCAAATTTGCACAATTCCTATCTTAAAAGGGCTTAAATTGTCTGTAGGTGTGAATGGTTGTCTGTCTCTATGTGTCAGCCCTGTGACCTGTCCAGGGTGTACCCCGCCTTTCACCCAATGTCAGCTGGGATAGGCTCCAGCACCCCTGCGACCCGCAAGAGCATAAGCGGTTATGGAAAATGAATGAATGATTGTTTAGGTGTTAAAATGAACAATTTTAAAGTTCTAGTTTTAGACTTGAACAGTGACCCCTAACCCATAGAGTTACATTATCATTAAAATAAACCCACTGTCCCCATATGAGGACGTCTTTTTTGTCTTTCAAAATCTACTCTGTTTAAAGATAATAACTAGTTTTTATAATCTCAAATAGCCAGGAGTGTGTGTGTGTGTGTGTGTGTGTGTGTGTGTGTGTGTGTGTTGGGGGGTTAATAGTTACTGTGTGTGTGTGTTGCTGTGAGGGCGTGGGGTGAATGGGGCTAATGTAACCAGAATGAACTGGTTCGGGAGACAAAAGCAGGGGGCTCGGGGAGGTGCATGAATGAGAGTCATAGGAAGCGAGAGAGACAGAACTTTCCCCTGAGTCTTTCCACAACTGCCTGGTAAACAAGTAAGTGCACTCTACATTCCATCTCATCCTTTACAAGAAATGTTCTGAACTGTGATTACTTTAAAAAGAGAGGAAAATAGTGTTTTTGTGTGTGTGTGTTCAGAGTTAGGTGTCAAAAATAAGTGTTAAAAGGCAGACACTTCATATTTACTGTAACTCTATACTGTACAGATGTCCTAGGCTGCTATTCTAACCCTCCTTGTTTGCTGTTTATCATTTCCCCGCTGGGTTTTATTAGTCTTTATGTAATTGTCCCATTTCCTGTGCCAGCTCCCAGCACTTTCCCCACATCTCAACTTTAAAATACTGCAAGTACAGCTCTTCTGCACACACTCTATGTGGCATGTGTGAGTGCTCTACTGTAAGAGAGAGGCATGGAGATGTGGCGAAATGTGTGTGTGCAGCAGTTAAGCTATTGTAGCACATTTTAAGGGTTTGATTAAAAATTGTTACGCACTTTAATGCATGTTTTTGCTTCCTGCTGATACAAGTAGCTTTGTTGTGCTGTGCTTTAAGTATCTGGTACATTTGCAGTGCATGTATGTGTGTGTGTGTGTGTGTGTGTGTGTGTGAAATTGAGAAGGAGAGAAAGAGAGGTAGAAAGGGCTGGCAGATGGGAGCAGTGTTGAGAGAATTACATATTATTAGCTGTGCTTTTTGCTGACAAACTGGGCAACAGGACAGACTGGTGAGCAGCAACCAAAAGGCGATTAGAGAGAAAGACAGATGCAGCTCAATAAAACTTAATTGTGCAAACCATTATTGTCCCCAAAGTGAATATTTATAACCCATACAGACATAAATTACATGCAAGCGCACTGCCATAAATTCTCAGATAGTGGCCTCGCATCAGAGAGAGGTCGGTCCTGCGATACATGTTTATATTTTGAGGTTTTATAACAACTTCTAATGAGTATGATTATTATGTCACATTTGAAAACCTCATTTATATTTTCCTACTCTCTCAATGAATTCAGCATATGTGCATTTCCACACATGGCTGGATTAACTGGCATTGGGGTCTCGGAGCAAAAATGAGCCATCCCCTAGCAGGCTCTTTCACAATTTTCTGTCCTACAAAAAGCAATGCACCCATATTTGTGCATATTCCACATATTTTGAAAGGCTGCAATCACATGACCAAGGAAGCAGTCTTGAGCGCTTGTAAGGAGGCAGATTTGGGTGGTGGATGGATCACAAAAAAACTGACATTTGCCCAGGACTTTCCCCTGGAGTCATGTGTTCAGATTCGTGTGATCTGTCTTCACCATGTTTCTTTTCCTAAACTTTACGACAGTACCTTCACTTGCCTGAACCTAACCTCCGTAACTTTACATAGATAATTGTACGTTTACGTATGTAATGTCAATCGTGAAGTGCAAATTTGTAGGATACTGTACAACCGATCGTGCATACATTTTCCATAGGATATCATACGAACCGTTCTATGAGTATACCTTGCCCTTACTTGATTGTGCAAAGCATTCCTCTGCTGCAATATTACTTGGCCCCAGGTTTGCTGTGCAATAATATAAATAAGAATGTTGATAAATACAAACAAAGTAATATGTACTGGGAACTGCCCATTGGTCCGACAGCCCATTGGTCCGACATCCCATTGTTCCGACCATATTAAACCCATTGTTCTGAAGTCCCGTTGTTCCGAAATCATCATGATGCCCTGTGGTTAAGGTCTAGTTAGGTTTAGGCACAAAAACCACTTGGTTAGGGTCAGGAAAAGATCATGGTGTGGGTTAAAATGAAAAAGAAAGTGGCAAACACATAAGCCGTGAGCCTGCTTCGCCTCAAACCTTTCCCAGCTGACCCAGAGCCGGTCACGGCGCACCATCAAGGCAGAAATACGCCCGCCGGGAGCCCTTCAGCACCGTGGACTATCGGACTAATGGGATGTCAGACCAATGACATGGACCCATATGTACCAGGGTGAACATATTGAAACAAATACAAAGACAAGATTTTGAGACGACACCTCAAGTTCAGGTAATAAAGTCCCAGCCTTAAAGGGATAGTTTGGATTTTATGAAGTGGCTATTTGCAAAGGGTGCTCATTCATAGGTACCGTTTTGTTGCTGGCCCCCATCCACAGCAGTACATTGCCTAGCTTCTGTATCTGACTCCAGCCTGCTTCTCCAAACTGGCAGCATGCTGACTGACATCTACTGTATGTAATACACTGATGATGTATAGTCACTAGTGATGTCCAAATGAAGAGTCATGAAGCACCAGTTGTATTTGCTGAACCCACTAGATTGCACTCTTAGTGTAATGAAAAAGGCTCAAGTGATGGCAGTGCAGTTTGGTTTCAACTAGCAATGGCCAAATGAAGCTTCATGAAGCATTTTTCTTTATTTTTTGGGTCCACTCTGGCGCTATTTGTTCAACAAAGGGTTGAAACCAAACTGCATTGCCATCCCTTGAGCCTTTTTCATTACACCAAGAGCGCCATCTAGTGAGTTCAGCAAATACAACTGGTGGTTCATGAAGCTTCATTTGGCCATCACTAATAAGTATCCCATACATCCTCACTGAAACAAATCTGAGTTGTTCTGCAGAATACTCGTTCCTCTACATATATATGTGTTCGTATACCTCTACTCTCTGACATAGGGCCACATACTGTTCACTACTTTTACTGATACATTTAGCCATAAATAATGTTTATATTCCGCTGATCTCACACCAATGTGGGATCAAGTCATTGTTTTGCAAGTCACAAGCAAGTCTTTGCACTCAAGTCCCAATTCAAATCCCAGTCAAGTGTCAAGTAAAGACCGACAAGTCCCATGTGCTAAACTTTAAGTGTTGCATCCAAACCAAGTCATCATGTGCTCTTCACCAAATGTAACGCCATTTGAACAACAGATTGATATATTAAATTCACAAAAATCATGATTGCTTTGTAAAATGTTGTATTCAGTTATTAAAACGAGTTTGTTAAAAAGTTACAATGCTGTTAAGCTAACGTTAACTAGCAATCAGCTTGGTTAATATTAGCCTTGACTTTCCTTTCAAAGCTGGAAGTTGCTGTGTCTCCATCTTTAATTTTCAAATGACATGTTTTGCTTACTGCAACTTGGATTTTGTTGAGCACCACATAGTTTTTGTACACCAACGAAATGATCTCTGGTATGGTTTCTCCTGCAACTTGATTGGGTGCTGTCGGATTGGATACGTTTTCATTTTTGGACTTGGGGGACAGTGTCAAGTATTTCCAAGTCAAACTCTAGACTCCAAGTTAAGCTGAGTGTCAGTGGTGTTAAAGTCCAAGATTGGAGATGAAGTCTTTTGTTTCTTAGTCTGATTTTGGATATGGCTATGTAATGACAATTAGCATGCACTTCACATGTGTTATTACCTGCTGAAGACCTCTTGAACATTGTGTGAATAGTTTTTATGAGATTCTTTATTTGAGGGCATATGACCATATTCCTATACAAATTTCCAATTCAGTATTTTGCCATACAGTAATCCTTGGGGCTTTTGGGCTACACTTTCTGCTCTCTGCAAAGTTTCCTTTCTCAGTCTGTTAACATTTCTTACACAGCTGTTTCACATTAAAAGCCTTCCAGAGTATCAAAGGCTGTAAGCCTCCCTTTCCTGGTAGGTTTTAATGTGAAACATCTGTAGAAAAGTGTTGACTCATGGTTGATTTGTGGCTCTTCGGGGTATCTGAGTCAGGGAAAATGGGATCAGAGAGAAGTAGCTGGAAGTAGCTCATTTACCGAACGTTTTGGGGGCTTGGAGTCTGAACACCTTAACACCTTTAATGTGTTTATGTTTGGCATGTAAAAGGCAGTTCAAAGAAGGCTGGGACACGCTCTTAGGAAATGTAACTGGAGCTGTGATGTTGGACAGTTACAGCAGATGGCACTAGAAATAAAGGGACAACTTCCTGTCAGGTGCTCTTTAGGCTCTCTTTGGGTTCACTTGGCCTAGCATAACTTTTGGATACACTCAATTGGCAGTTGATATACAACAGAACATCTGCTTATAGAAAGCATTTGTTTATGGTCTTTAGGTCTAGGGCTGATGTTGGAAGGCGATTTTATTGCTGCTTAGGGAAATCAGGCTGTGGTGGTTTGAGTCCAGGGCATGATGTTAGATTAGAATTGATAAATTTGATGCTTTGGCTGCTGTCTGTGGTGGTGATCAAAGACTGGTTTGCAGGATGGGAGGGATGCCCTCCAGTTCAGTAGTAGACACAGCTATTCTAACGCATGCCTTTCAGCAATAGTGTATTTCAGCTTTATTTTCCCAGGAGGGGAGCAGGCAGCAACTTATGTCTGCTGTTGCTGTAGCAATTTGAATTCAGCCAGTGCAAACCCCAGGAGGGTCTGATGCTGGACCAACCCAACTCCCTGTCAAATCAGCAAACTTTCTGGTACTGCCGTTACACAGGAGCTGCCGTTTGTGTGTGTGTGTGTCTGAGCGCGAGTGTGCAGAAAAAATCCTTGCACTGGGGCCAATCAAACTAATGTAATGCTGCTGTCTGCTGGTCTGGACTACAGCCTCTCCTGCATGCTGGAGAAGACATCATTGTGGATCATCGCTTACACATTCCCTCTACAGGCAGCAGCAGACGCTGTCAGAGTTTCCACTGGATCCATTCTGATGAAGTAGTGCTGTTGTGCACTCAGAGCTCACAGCCCCAAACTCAGCAGTTATGTGCAGAAGTCAGAGGATGCGTTGGGTTGCTGTTACAGAAATAAATTGTGAGTGAAGTGGCCGCTTGTGCTGATTAAAACTGAAGCGTATTTGTTCCATAGATGTGACACAGAAGACTGAAAAGCATGCCTGTTTAGAACGGCTCTTTGTCACAGATGTCACTGAGATGTGTTCACTGTCTCTGTCCTCTGTCTCTCTCTCTCTGGTCTGTCTGGCTCTCTCTTATAGTTAGTAGGTCATACAGGGACCGATAAAAAGTCATTTCTGCTTGGCTGCTTTTCAAAATCCCTAATTACAGAGTCAACAGCAACACA